CCAGTGGCATTCACCAAATTGGGTGTCATTCGAGTTCCGCCGCTCTAGCCTACTGTCCATTAATTTGTGACCGTCTTAACATTACTTCGACGGTGCATCGGACTTGGTTCTACTATAAGATCGATGAGGTCACTTTTGGTAAATGGTGTGCTATACATGACGGCTATTACATCCCTCTCCAATCTTTAATTCGGTTTTCCTGGGTTTCAGCTTCATAGGATTGGAGCAATAGAACCTGACAGCATCCTCAGTGTTTTCATTGGAACAGTTCTTAGTGATGTTTACTTTCCTAACCAAGCGTAATTTTCACGTTGCTGTAGACCTAATTTTATATCGAAACAACGTTGATGAAGTCCTGCTAAACCAATCGACATCTATCAAAAGGGGTAACCTCTTCAAAAACAGAGCGTCCTTCAGGTCTCAGCTTGAAGAACAACTATCACTAATTACCTCCCCATAATCCATTGAAAATAAACCTAGACGTATGCCTTTTTATAGGGACATTTTTACACAGCTTATTAATTCAACTGTTCCGGTATTAATTGCCCGGAATGACAACAAAAGCTCCTGCTCATGCACATTTGCACACTTCAGTCGGCTACGGCAGTCTGTGAACAGTACCAAGATGTCCATGCCATTATTTGTGATGAACCAAACGTGTTATTTAATGCCAGCAATTCCAAACAGTCACCATCTCAACAAAAGCGGCTTGTCGAAAAGGGCTCGAAAACACTAAGCAGCACCAGTACTCCAGCCCACGGTGACCAACGGATTCAACGCTGGAACAAGTACAAGTCCTGTGGTCAAAGACATTCACGATTAACCGTAGATTTCGTAATGCCAAGTGTCACAATTGCGGTAAGCTTGGCCCTATTCAGTCTGTCTGTAACAGTACGAAGTCATGTCTTACAGAATGTAAGACTGTTCATTCCCCTGAAGATTTATTGTGTAATTTACAGTCCTTAACTCTATCCAATACAAGTTCACGTCCCTCTCGTCACATTACTCATGATTTCATCATTAATGACTCCATTCGCCATACATTCATCATGGATACCGGTAGTGTTAATTCCTTCATTTCCAACAAGGTATTCGATCAGTTAAAGCCCCCAGTTGTACTTTCCCCAACAGACATTTCAGTTAAGGGAATTGCTGGTCATTCTTTGCCCGTCTTAGGATCATGCGAACTGCATCTTACAGACGATAAATCACAAACATCTCACTGTCCGTTTTTGGTTATTGATCCCGATGTTTCTATAATTTGTTTGAATTGCATGAATCGTATGTGTCTGTCATTTTCATTTATGTCTGACTCTCATCAATCACGATTTCTTCACTTAGTACTTGAATGCTCTAGGGCGAACGGTGTTTATGAAACGTCGGATTATCCCACTTGGACTTCGTGAGCCCGTAAAAATGTGTTCAACGAAATGGTCAGCAAGGGAGTTCTGACACCGGTGAATTCTTCGGTTTGGGCCACGCCAATTGTTACTCTACTAAAACGTGACGGGAAAACTCCTGGAATATATGGAGACTATCGGGTTACTGGGAAAAGATAGCTGAAACAGTCCATTTGTGCCACCGTCGAACCAGAAGACATTCTGCACCAGTTTCATGGATCCAAGTCTTTGTGTTCTAGACTTAAAAGATGCATTTCTTCAAATTGCCCTTGATGAAAAGTCTCGTGAGCTTACAACCATTAGCACACCTTCTGGTTTATTTCTCTACAATCTTCTACCGTTTTGACTCGGTGCGTCACCCGCTATTTTTCAGACTACCATTAATTTCATCATTTCGGTTTACAAGGTGTGTGTGCTTATCAGGACGATATTATTGTTCATGCTCCTAGCAGACAGTTGCATGACGAACGCTTGTGTGCTTTGCCTGAAAGATTTCGTTCCCATAATGTTGCTATTAATCCTCATAAATGTGCTTTTGCGACAACTAAACTTTCCTGTTCAGGTTATTTAGTTGATGAATCTGAATTCCGTCCGGATTCTGATTGATTTTCTTCATTGACCAATGCCCCATCTCCCAAGTCATTCCCTGAACTTCGTTTTTTAATTGATTCTTTACAATACTATTCCAAGTTTATTCTTAATTTTTCAACTCAAGCTGCCCCATTGTTCGATTTCAAATCACAGCAATCATTTCAGTGGATTTCGGTCCGTGAATGTGCCTTGAGGAAGTTGCTTTCCTTTTTATCTACCAGTGCTGTTTAACTTCCCTTTTCTCCACGATTACATTCTACGGTCATCTCGGACGCATCGCCCGTTGGAATTGGAGCTGTGTTGGAGCAGAATGGTCATCCGGTGCTGTGCATCTCACACCGGCTCACGGCTGCCGAACGAGAGGTTTTAGCTGTCTGTTGGGCTGTGACAAGTATCTTTACGGTACTCATTTCATTATTGTGAATGATCACGAAGCCTTGCGGTTCATTTAAACCCTCAACGTTGCTGGTGAAGTCCTCTGCAGCCATGGTACAACGATGGAGTATTGCGTTGTCCGCCTATTCCTTCGAAATCCATCATCGGAGAGCGCAGTTCATTCCACATGAAGACTATCTATCACGCTACACCATTTCAGAGGAGGTTTCTATGGGTGATTGTCTACCCACTCAGCCGCTCCCGTTAAGTCGATCTGATCTGGTTCACGAGACCAGGAAGTATTACCACGATATCATTTCTTGTCCCCGTCAAGGTTGGCGAAGTGATATCGTGTTGGAAGGTGGTACAAAGAGAGCCCCGGTTAGCAAACGAATCAAGAATGGGGCCCATCCAACCGGACGCGCAGACGTAGCGGTTGGAAGTACTTCGCGAGACGAACGAATCGACGATTACAGCCCGACAGACACTCCGCAGCTTGCCAGAAAGATATCCACCGAATACCACGACGTAGGAGCTATCGATCAATGTATCTCCCGCTACGATCGTTTTCTTTCTTTTCTTTTCTTTTTCATTTTACTTCCTTTTATTGAATATACAAAGATACAACAATTTTTCAGGAAGGAGGAAGCGGCCAATCAGAGGGCTGCCATTCAACACACAAAGGGGAAATTCAGGCGGTTGTGACGGGGTTCGAACACATCCCCGGGGTGATAATTTGGTGACGTTACCACCGGGTCACCACCGCCCGGGTCAAACCAGTCGGAACGGGACGCGGAAGAAGAGGAAACGTACGTGCCAATTGCGGACCAAAACCAACGGGGATTGAAGAACAGAATGAGACATGAATCATCCTGCCACGCGGTTAAGAATTGAACGTATAAAATTGAACACGTACATCGGTTGTTTTCTAATTGGATCAATAAACATTTTACCAGCCAGCTCGCCTTCTCACTACAATATCGTCGATTTCCGGAATTTTATAAACGTCGTGAGGAAATTTCCGTGACGTGTGATGGTGTCTTGTGCTACAATGATCGCATTATCGTACCTCTTACATTCCGGTCAACTTGGCGTTGAGATGATGAAGTCTCTTGCTCTTCTCACGTGCTGACGGCCTGAATGGAGTCATGATCTGAATCGTGTGGCAAAATCCTGTGCTGATTGTATGCAAAAAACTCACAGATAACCTTCGAAATAAACTCCGTGGTCAGTATCTTCCGAGTCATGGCAAAGAATACATGTGGATTACTGTGGTCCATTTCTCAACAAGTATTACGCATTGGTAATCGTCGATTTCTATTTCCGTTGGCCGTAAGTCTACTTCACTGCATCACCCAGTGCAGAATTTACTATTCGAGCACTCAGGAAAACGTTCAGCAGAGAAGGTATCCTGTATGCTACGGTGACTGACAATGGAAGTCATTTTACCCCCAACAAAGTTACCGATTGGTTGAACTCCGTGAGTTGTCGGCATGTTCTCAATCCACCCCGACATCCACAATCCAATGGCACAGGCAAAAACTTTGCACACGCTGAAGAGTGCTATTGCTTCCTTGAATACCAGTACATTCGATGAACTGGACAGAGGCGTTGATAACTTTCTGATGAAATACCGCAACGCAGTACATTCAATCACGGGGCACAGTCCAGCAAAGCTGTTCAAGAGTGGAGTACTTCGAACAAATCTTCTACACTTGGAGTCTGCAGAAGTAGTGTATCATCGTGATAACGATTTACGACCCTACAGAGGCATTGTACTAGACCGTATGGGAGAAAGAGTATGTCGCATATTGGATCTAGACGATGGTACTGTACATCGTAGACACGTAGACCAAGTAATTTGTAATTTGCCCAATCCTGATACTAATTGTGAACCTACTAATCCTTTTGTTTCTGAGTCTTTTTCAGATGAATTGCATACCACTACAAATGTTGAAAATATTACAGAAGAACCCAGAAGATCCAAACGACTACTCCACAAAGCCCACCGTGATTACAGAAAACCGGAGCTTCATTCAAGCTGTGGCGGATGTGGTGATTGCTCATGAANTAGGAACTCCTTTATTTTATTGAACACGATATCCTTATACATTCCGAATTTCCGCTTATTACAGTTCGATTCCGTTTCTGAGTTCTGTGGTCTGATTTCATTTCGAGTCCTAGTTCTGGGTTGGACTATAACTGCNATAACTGCTCGGATTTCGATACGTATACGAATTATTAGTCCGAGTGCTAACTGCAGCAGCTTCTCTTCACCCAATGTTCTTGCTCCTTCTCGTTCAAGCATTTTTCTATCCATTCAGCTGAATAATTCTAGCAAACCTACAGTGTCCATCCACTCGGCCGACTTTGCCTCCACTGTGAAACTTTGATCATGCAGTCTAACAGGTTTCACGAATTTATCTGTGCAATACACTGTTATTATTAGTTCGTAAGAATCAGGTCAATTTTATTTGGCATATCTCCTGATTTGAGCCTATTTCATTCATGGACTTGTAATTGCAGGGACTTCAAGTGGATTCATTCTAAGTTCATGAGTTCTGTTGGTCCTGGGGACCCACCCTTAACTTCATAGTCGGGTTTTGGTGGGTTCAAATCTCCCACTGTACAAATTCCTTGCATGTATACTTCACAAGCGAATTTCTCCTAATCATTATTATCCTTTCGTTGATGCATGTATGTAGAAGCTTTACATCTGTAATCCGCCATTTTGCTTTCCTATTAAACAGACGTTGACAATTACCCAATATCGATCGTTTCTCTTCCCTCAAGTCAGTGTACTGCGTTCAAAACCTCAATTTATGGAATGGACCTCATACAAGCAATTCTCGATGCCTATGTCACCAGATATATTTCGTTGTATATTGCGTTTCCCCAATTTATCACACCACCCACTTTCTTCAATGCCTTCTACTTTGTTTTGTACTCGTTCCAGCTGTAGTAACTTACGAAGTTTTGCAATCCTTTTGAATAAAATTTTACCCTCTGATTTGTAGTGATTGTAGTAGTAGCACGCAATGAACACGAAACACGAATCACGGAATACGAATCACTGGTTGGCAGTCATGGACTTCACGTAAGGTGTGATCACCACCTGATTCCTGATTCTTCTACTTTTGACGGCACCTAATAAACAGTTTCAGGCTGATTGTGTACCGTGCTGTTGTCGGATGAATGCTACACTGAAAGGCACATAATTTGTCTCCTTCTTTCTTACATTTCAGTTCCTCATAGTCAAACGTACAAGTAGACAGCATCAATAACCCTCCGTGGGAACGATTGTTATTCCGGGCTTTTATGCCGCCGGCTTATTTGTTTGATTAGGACTGATGGTGACTGCGTGAATCATCTGATATGTAACAAGGAGCTCTGCCGGAGATACTCGGTCCGGTGTGCCTGACAAACGAGAATGTTGGTTTGCCCGAAATAACCTGTATTTTATTCCCCAAGGACTCAGATTATTAACATGGCTCACTAGCACCCAATAACAACTGTTGATGACACACTGCAGCTCTACCAAAAGAAAACGCTGAAATAACCCTTAAGGTTTCGCTTTTTACCCCGCGAACTTGTCGCGCTAAATTTCGCGAGGAAAACGCGAATTTGCAGCAGGCACTTTGAGCGTTTATTCCGTAACCGACGAAACCGTTCTGTATAAATTATTCACTACTCACACTCATTTTTCAGGCCGCAGGTTATACTGTGCTTATCTATATACCGCGTGTAGTGCCTGTAGATCTCTGCTTTTTATTTTGCTCATAATCATTCGTTGTGATCTCATCGTTTTCACGTTCAATTATTGGAGACCTGTCCCATCTCAGTACCCATCCTTAAATAAAACTATAGGATTGTGATACGGCAAACTGATTACAAAAGCAATATGTACATGTACAACAATGGATCGATGTGCACTATCCCATGTGGCATGTCCGTCACCGAAAACTCTGTTCCGTCATCAGAGTGTACTATTTTAAACAGGCGTGGTGACTGTTGGTTAAAATATGACCGCGAGCATCCTTGTAAAAATCTCGATTTGTTATCATCGTACCACATCTAATTGACATAGTAATCACAAGAAACAGCACGCCAGCTACCAGTAATTGGGTACATATATATTTGTTTATATGTTCACTAGTTTTTGTGCGCTCAAAATGTCTCAGCCGTTGTGGAGCTGATCATTCTACAAACTGACTTCCAATGTATCATCGCCTATTCTTGCGGAACTTTTATCGTGTTTTGTCCTCAAAATTCCTGTCGTTCTGAAAAACAACACGGAAGGTCACTAAAGCCGGATAAAGAGGAGAATGAAGGAAATTTCCGGTTCTGTTGGGTAATAGAGGTGAGGTCATATGGATGAAGTTCAGTGCCGATAGTAGTTTAACTCTTCTCACTCAAACACAAAGAAAGATATTGAAACATTTTTACAACACACTAGTGGGTGATACGAAATCTATTAAATCTCTTTAATATTCATGTAATAATTGTAGTGGTAGTAATAGTAATACGCACTGAACTAGGAATACGAACCACGCAATACGGCTCACGGAATACGAATCAAGGATTAACAATCACGGGTTGGATCACGTAAGCACTGGACCGGACTGGCACGAGCACACAATGTCCCACGTAACTGAGCTGCGAGGAAAAGGACTCAGCAGTACGTTTATTGGAAGAAATATAGGGGATTAATTATAGGTACAAAATAGGCTCGTTGGTTATCTGGGCTTCTACCAATCACGTTCCAGTATTGCTTGCATCGTTCTACTTATGTC